GGCTAAGGTGGGTGGAGTTCAAGACAGGCCTGGCCAGCATGGTGAAATCCAGTCTCTACTAAAAGTACAAAAATTAGCCAGGTGTGGAAGTGGGCACCTGTAATCTCAGCCACTCAGGAGGCTGAGGCAGGAGAATCACTTCAACCCAGGAGGTGAAGTTTGCAGTAAGCCGAGGTTGTGTCCTTGCCCTCCAGTCTGGATGACAGAGCGAGACTCCATCTCAAAAAACAAAACAAGACAAAACAAAACAAAACAAAACAAAATGCAAAGAAGCAAAGAAGGACATTACATAACAGCAAAGGGATCAATGAAACAAGAAGAGCTAACTGTCCTAAATATATATTCACACAATACAGGAGCACCCAGATTCATAAAGCAAGTTTTTAGAGACCTAGAAAGAGACTGAGATTCATACACAGTAATAGTGGGAGACTTTAGCACCCCATTACAATATTAGACCATCCAAACAGAAAATTAACAAAAATATTAAGGACCTGAACTCAGCTCTGGATCAAGCACACCTGCTACATATCTATAAAACTCTTCACCCAAAAACAACAGAATATAGATTCTTCTCATCACCACATGGCACTTACTCTAAAATTGATCACATATGCAGAATAACTGAAATCATAACGAACTGTCTTTTAGACCACAGTGGAATCAAATTAGAACTCAATGCTAAGAAAATCACTCAAAACCACACAACTGCATGGAAATTGAACAACCTGCTCCTGAATGACTCCTGCGTAAATAATGAAATTAAGGCAGAAATCAAGAAGTTCTTTGAAACTAATGAAAACAAAGAGACAACGTACCAGAATATCTGGGATGCAGCTAAAACAGAGTTAAGAGGGAGCATTAAATGCCCACATCAAAAAGCTAGAAAGATCTCAAATTAACAACCTAACACCACAACTAAAAGAACTAGAGAACCAACAGCAAACAAACCTCAAAGCTAGCAGAAAACAAGAAATAACCAAAATTGGAGAACTGAGGGAGACAGAGATATTAAAAACCCTTCAAAAAAAAAATCAATGAATCCAGAAGCTGTTTTTTTTGAAAAAAATTAATAAAATAGATAGAACACTAGCCAGATTAATAAAGAAGAAAAGGAGAAGAATCAAGCAGACATAATCAGAAATGGTAAGGGTAATATCACCATGGGGTAATGGTAAGGGCGATATCACCACTGATTCCACAGAAAAGCAACCATCAGACAATACTATAAACACCTCTATGAATATAAACTAGAAAATCTAGAAGAAATGAATAAATTCCTAGATACATACACCCTCCCAAGACTGAACCTAGAAGAAACTGAATCCCTGAATAGACCAGTAACGAGTTCTGAGATTGAGGCAGGAATAAATAGCCTAACAACCAAAAAAAAGCCCAAGACCAGACGGATTTACAGCTGAATTCTACCAGAGGTATAAATAAGTGCTGGTACCATTTCTACTGAAACTATTCCAAAAAATTGAAAAGGAGGGACTCCTACCTAATTCATTGTATGAGGCCAGCATCATCCTGATACTCAAACCTGGCAGAGATACAACAGAAAAAGAAAACTTTTTAGGCCAATATCCCTAATAAACATTGACTCAAAAATCCTCAATAAAATACCAGCAAATTGAATCCAGTAGCACATCAAAAAGCCTATTCACCATGATCAAGTTGGCTTCACCCCCAGGATGCCAGTTTGGTTCAGCATACACAAATCAATAAATGCAATTCATCACATAAGCAGAACTAAAAACAAAAACCACATGATTATAGACAAAGAAAAGGCCTTTGATAAAATTCAACATCCTTGCATGTTAAAAACTCTCAATAAACTAAGTATTGAAGGAACGTACCTCAAAATAATTAGGGCCCTATATGAAAAACCCACAGCCAATATCATATTGAATGGGCAAAAGGTGGAAGCATTCCTCTTCAAAACCAGCACAAGACAAGGATGCAGTCTCTCACCATGCCTATTCTACATAGTATTGGAAGTTCTGTCTAGAAAAATCAGATAAAAGAAAGAAATAAAGGGTATTCAAACAGGCAGAGAGGAAGTTAAATTATCTTTGTTTGCAGATGACATGACCTACATCTGGGAATTCCTAACATCTCAGCCTAAAACCTTCTTAAACTGATAAGCAACTTCAGCAAAGTCTCAGGATACAAAATCAATGTGTAAAAATTGTTAGCATTCCTATACACCAACAGGCAAGAAGAGAGCCAAATCATGAATGAAATCCATTTCACAATTGCTACAAAAAGAATAAAATACATACAAATACAGCAAATAATGGAAGTGAAAGACCTCTTGAAGGAGAACTACAAACCACTGCTCAAGGAAATCAGAAAAGACACAAACAAATGGAAAAACATTCCATGATCATGAATAGGAAGGACCAATATTGTGAAAATGGCCATACTGTCCTAAGTAATTTATAGATTCAATGCTATTCCCATTAAACTGTCATTGGCATTCTTCATAGAATTAGAAGAAACTATTTTAAAATTCATATGGAACCAAAAAAGAGCCTGAATAGCCAAGACAATCCTAACCAAAAAGAACAAAGCTAGAGGCATTATGCTACCCAACTTCAAACTATACTACAAGGCTACAGTAACTAAAACAGCATGGTATTGGTACAAAAACAGACACATATACCAATGGAAAAGAATATAGAATTCAGAAATCAGACCACACACCTACAACCATCTGATCTTCAACAAACCTGACAAAAACAAACAATGGGGAAAGCTTTCCCTACTTAATAAATGGTGCTGGGAAAACTGGCTAGCTATATACAGAAAATTGAAACTGGACCCCTTCCTTACACCTTATACAAAAAGTAACTCAAGATAGATTAAAGGCTTAAATGTAAAACCCAAAACTATGAACATCCTAGAAGAAAATCTAGGTAATACCATTCAGGACATAGGCACAAGCAAAAATTTCATGATTAAAACGCCAAAAGCAACTGCAACAAAAGCAAAAATTGACAAATGGGATCTGATTAAACTAAAGAGCTTCTGCACAGCAAAAGAAACTATCATCAGAGTGAACAGACAATCTATAGAAAATATTTGCCATCTATTCATCTGACAGTCTAATATCCAGAGTCTACAAGAAACTTACACAAATTTACAAGAAAAAAACCAACAACCCCATTTAAAAGTGGGCAAAGGACATAAACTGACACTTCTCGAAAGAAGATATTCAAAAAAATAGGCTGGGCATGGTGGCTTATGCCTATAATCTCAGCACTTTGGGAGGCTGAGGTGGGCGGATCACCTGAGGTCAGAGTTCAAGACCAGCCTGGCCAACATGGTGAAACCCCATCTCTACTAAAAATATAAAAATTAACTGGTCACGGTGGCACACATGTAATCCCAGCTACTCAGGAGGCTGAGGCAAGAGAATCACTTGAACCCTGGAGGTGGAGGTTACAGTGAGCACTGCACTCCACCTGGAGGTAGAAGTTACAGTGAGCATTGTACTCCAGCCTGGGCAACGAGAGTGAGACTCCGCTTAAAAAAAAAAAAAAAAAGACACTCATGTGACCAGTAAACAAACATGAAAAAAAGCTCAACACACTGATCATTTGAGAAATCAAAAACACAATGACACATCATCTCATGCCAGTCAGAATGGCAATTATTAAAAAGTCCAGCAACAACAGATGCTGGCGAGGTTATAGATAAAAAGGAATGCTTATACACTGTTGGTGGGAATGTAAATTAATTTAACCATTGTGGAAGACAGTATGGCAACTCCTCAAAGATCTAGAGGTGGAAATACCATTTGACCCAGCAATCCCATTACTGGGTATATACCCAAAGGAATATAAATCATTCTATGATAAAGATACATGCATGGATATGTTCATTATAGCACCATTCACAATAGTAAAAACATGGAATCAACTCAAGCACCTATCAATGATAGACTAGATAAAGAAAATGTGGAACATATATACCATAGAATACTATGCAGCTATAAAAAGGAATGAGACTATATCCTTTTAAGAGACATGAATGGAGCTGGAAGCCATTATCCTCAGCAAACTAATGCAGGAACAGAAAACCAAATACAGCATATTCTCACAAGTGGGAGCTGAACGATGAGAACACATGGACAGATGGAGGGGAGAAACATATGCTCTGGGGGCTGGGGGAAGGAGAGCATCAGGAAGAATAGTTAATAGATGGTTAGCTTAATACCAAAGTGGTGAGTTACCAAAGCAGCAAAACACCATGGCACACGTTTACCTATATAACAAAGGTTTGTTACATAGGTAACAAAATAAAATAAATGTTGGAACTTAAAATAAATGTTGAAGGAAAAAAATAAAACAAAATAAATAAAATAAAATGCTGCCACCCTATCTCCCAGGAAGAGATGCCTTCCTAGATGAGAAACAAAATCAAAGACAGGCCCAGTGTGGTGGCTCACACCTGTAATCCCAACACTTCAGGAGGCTGAGGCAGGAGGATTACATGAAGCCAGTAGTTCAGGACCAGCCTGAGCAATATAGCAAGACCCTATCTCCATAAAAAATTTTAAAACTGGCCAGGCATGGTGATGCCCGCCTGTGGTCCCAGCTACTCAGGGGGCAGGAGGATCACTTGAGCCCAAGAGTTGGAGGCTGTGGTAAGCTATGATCACACCACTGTGCTCCAGCCTGTGTGACAGAGCAAGACTCTACCTAAAAAAAAAACAAAGCAAAGGCACAGTAATCACATAAAATTTAATGACTAATGATGGTAATATTAAAATTAGTATTAGACATTTCCTATAGGAAGAATTCAGTTATTAGTTGTTGCTAATATTGAAAATAAATAATGAAACTAGGGAACTATATCATGGATTAGTGCCTGTAACAATGTTAATGACTACTTAATGAAGATTGTTAAAATTAGAATATCTCAGAAATAACAATTTTCAATTTAATTTTCATCCCTTCTGACATTCAAACCACCTTTTATCCAAAACTTACGTGGTGTAGACATTTTTGCAAGGATAGGAGTCACAATTTCTTGCAGTTGTTGTCTCTGCTCAAAAAGCTCATTAATGGAAGCCTCTGCATGGGTTTCCAACCACTCGTTTTTTGCACGGCATGCACTGAGGATGGTATTCTAGGGACAGAAATACAGAGTTTACTCTCCACTTATTTATTGAAAAACAAAACTCAACAGTATCTCTAAACCAGCACTGTCCAAGAGAACTTTCTGTGATGATAGAAATATTCTATACCTGCATCGTCCAATACAGTAGCCATTAGATACAAATAGCTATTTCGGCACTAGAAATGTGGCTAGGGTGACTAAGGAACTACATTTTCAATTTCATTTAATTTTAAATAATTCAAATTTGAATAGTCACATGTGGCTAGTGTCTATTATATTGGACAGTGCAGCTCTAACATTAGTGAATATGAGCACAATAAAACATCATCAGGAGTCATGAAGCCTGGCACCAGTCTATACTTCCTCCCTAATTCTTTATTTTCATTAAGCCCTGTGACTAAAAGAAGTACCTGGACAGGCCAGAAAAGAATGGGTGGACGGTATGAGTTGCATGCAACTCAAAAGACAATGCTGATATTTTATTCCTTCTCAAATGATTCACAGAAGTTCAAGAAATACAAGAAAAGCTCCACCTTACTGAAAACCTCTCAGTTTGCATTGTAAAATCATCTCATTGTACATATGCGGCAAATTTCTGATGTCTGATTTAAGATGTTTATAGTACTATGGTTTGTAATAATGAAGATAAATAAATACATTTGTGGTGTGTCCTGTCCACACTGTTAAATAATAAGCAGTCATATATGCAGAAGTATGTAGAAGGAAGTGGACTTAGAGGGTGTCCATAATATCTTATTAAGAAGAAAAAAACAAAATTATACAATTATATATAAGTGTGATCCCACTTTTATAAAAACAAAATCTTTCATAAAATTCCTATTATGTGTATAGATACATATGATTATATAAGTGAAAGAGAAAACATGGTACAATTAACACAAAATCGTTATCAGAACCACAGAGTAGGTAATAAGATTAGAAATGGAAAAGGAAAAACTATTATGTTTGCTTTAGACATTTTGATTTTTTCTAATTATTACTATGTATACACAATAATTTCTAGTTCAAATAATCAAATTTTTAAAAATTAAAATAAAAATTTTTTAGTAACTAGTTTGACAAAGCACTATTTCTTTGTGCCAGAAAAATTTTGTTTTGAAGATCTGATAGCTTCAAAGGCTATTCTAATAGAATTTTGCCTACATTTTGTTTGTTTCACAAGAGATTTTGTAGAGTACTCTACAAGACACAAGTGTAATGTGTAACTTATCAAGTGCTCAGATTTAGTGACATCGTACACTTTTAGCAATACCTATTCTTTTTCATCTGAATAACAGGTCACAGGAAATTCACAGAGCATCCTGCATGAGAATATAGGAAATAATTTAAAATCAAAACACATTTCTGATACCTTGAGTATATTTTTTAAATGTACATTCAGAGCAATAAAACTATTCCACGGGGAATGCTTAGATCTAGTACTTAGATATGTGGGAAGTGGGCTTTAAAATTGCTATGTTTATAGCTGTGTATCTTTTTTTCTCATTCTGGAAAATTTGATACATTAAAGAATATGCAGTGTATTTGTGTATATACATATATACTAAAATATATAATGTATATCTCAGTTTTGAAGCAAAATAATGAAATGAACATTTCCATTTTATTATTTTGGACCCTACTACTCAGCAGAAGAACCAGAACGCTACCAATACTATTAATGCAGCTTCTGTCCCTCCCCATCCCACCTTCTTGCCTGCCTTCAAGAAATAACTATGATCTGTGCTTGCCCCCTTTGCTCGGCTTCTTAAACAGTTTTACTCCTAAATGTAGGTATCCCTAAATTATATAGTTTGATATTGCTTGTTTTTGAGCTTGATCAAAATCTATGTAGTCTTTGATTAGTTTTTTTTTTTGTTTTTTTTTTTACTCAATATTACATTTCTACGATTCAGACATGTTGCTGGGTATGATACTACATCTCTATGTCACTCTTTAATACTATTTCTTTTAGTTTTGATCAGACTATCCTCTATTAGTAGTTTATAAAAAGAAGAAGGGAAGGTAGGAGGGCAGAAGGAAAGAAAGAGGGAGGAGGGAGGAAGTAAGGGCCACAATCTGCCTTTAAAACAAAACAACAGTGTGGAAATTAAACTGTAAGACAAAAGTCTCAAAGCACTTCAGAACAAGCAATAATCACAGTACAGTACCTTGTCTTCCTTAAGGAGCTTCCCTGATCCCTTTTCAGTGTCAGTAACGGCTAAAGAGACTTTTGCAATATATTTTTTCAGAGTCAGCCTTGCATCTGAAAGAATGGACAGAAACACACACAATGACAAGACAAAGACAAGAGGCAGGGCAAGACAGTCAAATGGAAGCCTCCAGTGTCCACCCCACCCAAGAGAAACACCAAATTGAACAACTGCCCATACAAAACAGCACCATCATGAGAACCAAAAATCAGATAAGCCATCACAGGACCTCATTTTAACATCAGACTAAGGAAAGAGGCACTGAAGAAGGTAGGAAAGACAGTCTCAAACTGCCTTTACCGCACTTTCTCTGTACCCTTGGCAATAGTCACATGGTGCAGACAGAGAATCTGTACGCTTCGGAGAGGCAGAGCACAGTGATTGTGGGACTTTGCACTATAGTTCAATGCTTCCCTGTCATACTGAGAAGCAACATCGGGCAGAATTCAGCTAGCACCCATGAAGGAAACATTTAGACCAGCCCTAGCCAGGGGGGAAGCACACATCCCAGCAGTTGGAACCTGAGTTCCAGCAGGCCCCACCACTACAGGCTAAAGTGCTATGGGGTTCTAAATAAACTTGAAAAGTCATATAGGTCATGAGGGCTGCAATTCCTGGGCAAGTCCTAGTGCTGTGTTGAGATCAGAGCCAGTAGACTTGGGATGCACAGGACCTAGTGAGACACCAGCCTGAGTGGCCATGAGAGTGCTTGCTACCACCCCCTGCCCATCCTAGGGAGCACAGCTTACAGCTCTGGGAGAGACTCCTTCCTTCTGCTTGAGAAGAGAAGGAAAAGAGAATAAGACTTTGTCTTGGAACTTGGATACCAGCTCAGCCACAGTAGAATAGGACACAAGGCAGAGTCCTTAGGTCCCCTTTCCAGGTCCTAACTCCAAGGTGACATTTCTAGACATACCCTGGGCCAGAAGAAAACCAGCTGCCTTGAAGGGAAGGACCCAGTCCTGGCAGGATTCATCATCTGCTGACTGAAGAGCCCTTGGGTCCTGAATAAGCAGCAGTGATACCCAGACAGTACTCACCATGGACCTTTGGTGAGACTCAGAGCCATGCTGGCTTCAGGGGTGACCCAGAACATTCCTCAGCTATAGTAACTATGGGGAGAGACACCTTCTGCTTGACAAAAGGAGAGGAAAGAGTAAATGGGACTTTGCCTTGCAACTTGAGTACCAGCTCAGCCACAGTGGGGTAGCACACCAAGCAGGATCCTGGGGTCCCTGATTCCAAGCCTTGGCTCCTGGAGGGCATTTCTGGGCCGGGCCTGGAACAGGGGAGAGCCTGCTGACCTGAAGAGAGGGGCCCATGCTTGACAGCATTCACCACAGGCTGACTGTAGAGCCCTTGGGCCTTGAGTGAGTATCAGCAGTATCCAGGTGGTACTTGCTGTGGGCCTGGGCAGTGGTGGCCACAGGGAGAGACTACTCTGCTGGAAGAAAAGGGAGGGGAAGAGTAGGAAGGACTTTGTCTTATGGCTCGGGTGCCAGCTCAGCTGCAGTAGAATAGAGCACCAGGTAGATTCCTAAGGTTCTTGACTCTAGGACTTGACTCCCAGATGGCATCTCTAGACCCACCCAGGGCCTGGGAGACCTTGCTGCCATGAAGGGAAGGACACAAGCCTGGCTGTATTTGCCAACTGTTTATTGTAGGTCATTAAGCCTTGAGTGACTATAAGCAATAACCAGGCAGTGGTCACCATAGGTCTTGGGTAAGACCCAGTGCTATGCTGGCTTCAGATCTGACCCAGGGCAGCCCCAGTGGTGGTAGCCACATGGGTGCTTGTGTCACCTTTCCCCCAGCTCTAAGCAGCTCAGTGCAGAGAAAGAGAGACTCCGTTTGTTTAGGGGAAAGTAAGAAAAGAAGAACTGCTGCCTGATAAACCAGGGCATTTTCCCTGGTCTTACCCAAGACCACCAAGACAGTATCTCTACAAGTCTGCAAGAGCCACAACATTACTGAGCCTTGGGTGCCTCCTAATGCAGATATGGCTAGAGTAACCAAAAACTTATAATAAGATCATAATAAGTCCCTTCAAATACATAAGAAAGCCTTCCCCAGAAGGACAGGTACAAACAAGCCCAGACTGCGATAACTACAATAAATACCTAGCTCTTGAATGCCCAGATGCTGATGAACATCCACAAGCGGGAAGATCAGTCAGAAAAACAGGACCTTATCAAACAAACTAAATAATGCCCCAGTGACCAATCCCAGAGTGAAAAAGATATGTGATCTTTCAGACAGATAATTCAAAATAACTATTTTGAGGAAACTCAAAGAAATTCAAGGTAACACAGAGAAAGAAATCAGAATCCTATCAGATAAAATTAACAAAGAGTTTGGAACAACTTAAAAGAATTAAGCAGTAATTCTGGAGCTGAAAAATGCAACTGACATACCAAACAATGCATGACAGTCTCTTAACAGTAGAATTGAACAAGCAGAAGAAAGAACTAGTAAGCCTGAAGACAGGTTATTTGAAAATGCAGTCAGAGGGGACAAAAGAAAAAAATATATAAAACAATGAAGCACTCCTATAAGATCTAGAAAATAGCCTCAAAAGGGCAAATCTAAAAGTTACTGGCCTTAAAGAGGAGGTAGAGAGAGATCAGGGAAGAAAATTTATTCAAAGGAATAATAAAAGAACTTCCCAAACCTAGAGAAATATATCAATATTTAAGTACTAGAAGATTATAGAACACCAAGCAGTTTTAGCCCAAAGAGACTACCTCAAGGCATTTAATAATCAAACTCCCAAAAATCAAGGATAAAGATCCTAAAAATAGCAAGAGAAAAGAAACAAATAACATATAATGGAGCTCCAATACATCTGGCAACAGCCTTTCTGTGGAAACCATACAGGCCAGGAGAGAGTAGCATAACATATCTAATGTGCTGAAGGAAAATAACTTTTACCCTAGAACAGTATATCCAAGAAAATATCCTTCAAACATATCAGAGAAATAAAGACTTTCCCAGGCAAACAAAAGCTGGGGAATTTCATCAACACTAGACCTGTCCTAAAGGAAATGCTAAAGAGAGTTTTTCAATCTGAAAGAAAAAGATGTTAATGAGCAATAAGAAATCATCAGAAGATATAAAACTCACTGGTAATAGTAGGTACACTGAAAACCACAAAATACTACAACACTGTAATTCTGGTGGGTAAACTACTTATATTTTGAATAGAAAGACTAAAAGATGAACGTATCAAACATAATAATTTTCAAGACATAGTACAATAGGATATAAATAAAAACAAAAAAGTTAAAAGTTGGGAGGGAAATTAAATGTAGTTTTTATTTCTTTTATCTTTGCTTGTTTGTTTATACGATCTATGTTAAGTTGTCATCAGCCTAAAATAACGAACTATAAGATACTATTTGAAAGTCTTATGGTAATCTCAAATCAAAAAACATACAACAAAGCCGGGCGCAGTGGCTAACAACTTTAATCCCAGCATTTTGAGAGATCAAGACAGGCAGATCACTTGAGGTCAGGAGTTTGAGACCAGCTACTAACAATACAAAAATTAGCCAGGCGTGGTGGCGCATGCCTGTAATCCCAACTCTAGGGAGGCTGATCACTTGAAGCCAGGAGGCAGAGGTTGCAGTGGGCCAAGATTGCACCACTGCACTCCAACCTGGGCAACAGAGTGAGACTCTATTTCAATTGAAAAAAAAAAAAAAAACAAACAAAAAACAAAAAACAGAGACACAAAAAATAAAAAGCAAGAAATTAAAACATACTACCAGAGAAAATCACCTTCACTAAAAGGAAGACAGAAAGGAAGGAAAGAAGAAAGAGAAGACCACAAAACAACCAGAAAACAAATAACAAAATGGCAGGAGTAAGTCCTTATTTGTCAATAATAACACTGAATGTAAATGGACTAAATTCTCCAACCAAAAGACATAGAGTGGTTGAAGAGATAAAAGTCAAAAATCCAATTATTTGTTACGTATAAGAAACACACTTCACCTATAAAGACACACATAGATGGAAAATAAAAGGATAACAAAAGATAGTCCATGCCAATAGAAACCTAAAAAGAACAGGAGTAGTACACTTACATCAGACAAAATTGATTTCAAGAAGAAAACCACGAAAGAGACAAAGAAGGTCATATATAACAACAGAGGGGTCACTTCAGAAAGAGGATATAACAGCTGGGAATATACATGCACCCAACACTGAAGCACTGAGATATTTAAAGTAAGTATTATTAGAGCTAAAGAGATAGACTCCAATACAATAATAGGTGGAGACTTCAACACCCCTCTTTCAGCATTGGATAGATCATCCAGACAGAACATCAAAAAAGAAACATTGGACTTAATCTGCACTATAGACCAAATGGATCTACTAGATATTTACAGATCATTTCATTCAATGACTGCACAATGCACATTTTTTTCTCCTCAGCACATGGATAATTCTCAAAGACAGACCGTATGTTAGGTCACAAAACAAGTTTCAAAAAAATTAAAATTATAATTATATCAATTAATAAATTAATTTATTTAATTAAAATTAAAATTATATGAAGTATTTTCTCTGACCACAATGGAATAAAGCTAGAAATCAATAACGAGAGGGATTTTAGAAACTATACAGCACATAGAAATTAAACAATATGCTTCTGAATGAACAGTATGTCAATGAAGAAATTACTCATAAGGAGGAAATTTTTTAAATTCCTGAAACAAATGAAAATAAAAACACAGTATACCAAAACTATGGGTACAGTGAAAGCAGTACTAAGAGGAAAGTTTATAGCAGTAAGTGCCTATATTAAAAAAAAAATACAAAAACTTCAAATAAACACCTTAACAATACAATTTAAAGAATTAGAAAAGTAAGAGCAAAGCAAACCCAAAATTAGTAGAAAAAAAGAAATAAAACAGATCAGAGCAAAAATTAATGAAATTGAAATAAAAAAATAATTCAAAAGATCATTGAAATGCAAAGTTGGTTTTTTGGAAAAGATAAACAAAATTGGCAAATCATTAGCCAGACTAAGAGAAAAAGAAAGCCC